TCACATAGTTTATTAAGTTGACCTTTCTCCACTGATGTGGTATTGAATAAAACTGACTTTCTAAATAAAATATTAATTTAAAGTAATTATAAACATATAATAATAATAATAATAATAAACTACCTTGCATGTTTGTTTCATTATGCATAGTTTGTGGTTTAATCAATACTTAGAAAATACTTAAAGTAAAAGAGTATTATCTGCTTAACTTGGTCAAAATTATATTTAAATATGACATTCAAGTTATATGGAAAGCTAAATACTGCAGCATTTAATACTTCAGTGATATATATAAATGCACACATATATAAAAGATATTCACATATATTAACTCATATAACCCTCTTAATAACATTGCAAGTTACTGTTATTTTACAGAGAAAGAAAAGGAGAACTGGTGAGCCTAAGTGCTTTGACCAAACTAGTTAGTCAAGAGGCAGAGCTAAAATTCAGGACAGATGATCTGAACTGTAAGTCATATGGTACTTCTATTGCATTGTGATTATTTCTGTATATTCAGCATCTGTATTTATTAAATTTTAACTGGCTGACATAAAATTATAAGGATGAAAATAACTGAAACATTTAACAAGAAATTGAAAATAATTATTACATCAGCTCGGATTTAAGTGAAAGTTTTGCTTATTGGATAAAAACCACACTTGAATAAAACTTAATTGAAAAAATAGAAAAAACTTATAATGGTGTATATACATATGTATGTGTGTGTATTATACATATGTAATATATATGTAATATATATAATATATGTATATATAATATATATTATATGTATATATATATCCAAAATTATATATATATTTCTTCTTCCCAAACTCTTACTTCATTTACCAAATTATATTCCTGAAATTATATATGATCTCAAATAAGAAAGCCAAAATCTAATCAGCTGTGTTATATATTACCTGAAGAAATATTAAATTAATAAAGGAGGAGTATCTTTCAAGGAAGGTAAGAAATTAGTTTGGAGTCAGTTATTGTATCTTGGTTCCAGCCTAGAGAGATCATCAATTAATACAAGTATCTAATTATTATGGATCTATAGTGAAGTTAGAGGCAAACAAAACCAAAATCAAACAAAACAAAAATAAAAAAAAAACCCTGGCATAACTTGAAAATCTAGATTCTTTAAGATTATCTAACTCTCCTTTTTCTAATTATATTTTCACCAAGTAATTCTAATTTTTCTATCTATATGGAGTGGTGAATTTAGATGTCTGAGTTTGGTTGAATTTAGATCAGCCACATACCAAATGTAGTGGAAGTATTCAACTCGCAGTAATTTAATTCCCTCGTGTATAAATGAGACTAGTAATAGCATCAATGTCCCAGGACTATGAAAATATTAAATGAGTTAATACATTAAAAATTTTTCAAAGACAGGCTGGCATATAAAAAGTAGTTAATAAGTGCTAGGTAACACTAAACAGTAATTAGCATTTATTTAGTTTTTATTATGGACAAGGTAATAAAGTAGATTTTTAAGCATGATCTTTTTCATCTTACAACTAATTTGTGACGTAGTATGTTTTTAGATGAGGAAATTGAGCATAAAGAGGATCCAACTGATTATCAGTGACTACTAATATTCAAAATGTTTTTAGATATACAATTTTTCACTTCTATCTGAGATTCATTACATACTAGGTGCTTGCAAATTTGGTTACAATGATTCAATCCCTAAGAAAGTAATACATTTTAGGAGATCAAATGTTAAATTACTTTATGTACCTGCAAAGTTGAAGATTAAACTTTCAAAAGTGATGAGTGACCTTATAAGGTACTGTCCTCTTATGAGATTTTTATTTGACTCCAGGTGATAGAGCTCCATTTTGTCACTTTTTAAATTTAAGGACAATTTTCTGTCTATTCTTTTTATGGCGTGATTACGAAATCTTAAATTCATATCTTGTCTGATCTTACTATTTAAAAGGAAGATCTATACATTCTATTTTAATATCAAATCACCTGAGATTATTTATGAAAAATTTTCATAAGCTGTCTAATTCAGTTTAACATTCTGTATTCAACTGTCATATGAAGTGATTATAAATAGACTGATCTAGAAGGTGGGGTAGAGATTTTTTTTCTGGATCTCACACTACAGATGAAAGACTAGAATAACCCTTCTGGGCTCTTAACATCTGCTTTCCTGATCTTCCTTAAACCAAGAGAGAATGACAACTGAATGGATATGTGAATGGAGGGTAGGAAAAAACAAAATTAGTCCTTTCCTTCCTTTTAATCAATTTCTATCTTTCTTCCTTATCATCACTGTCATCATCATTATCATCATCACCATCATAATCACTGTCTTATAGCCTGTCTGCCTTCAGAGAGGGTATGTTTTACTCAGCTTTCATATACAGGATAAGTTTAGGGGAGCAGGCTCTGCTCCCTGAGGAAGGGTGCAGGAGATCTGGAACTGTCCAGAGTGGTCTGTAACTGCTTAGGTAAGTCTGTTTTCTTCTCAGAAAAATTATCAGAGAGCTATTTTGGTCACAGATCTAAATCATTTTTAATAATTTATTTTAGTAATAAAGGTATGATTGAATTATATATTGACCTCCTAATTAGCTTTGAACTTTGGAAGAGGTATAATATTAATTCTCTCCTGAATTTTCAAATCACAGGACAATCACAATGAACTTCATTGTGACCCTTACAGAGGCAGAGAAAAAGTAAAACAGAAGACTCTACCTGTCAAGCCAAACATCTTCCTATATTTTTGTTCCACAATACTACTTCTGAGGGAATCTTCATTTCCTTGAGCAACTTCCAATTTATCCATTTTCTCACCCATTTCCCCCTGGATACTCCACTGGAGGAGTGGAGAATATTCTGAAGCTGCTTGCCTACAAACTTAGTAGTGACTCTTCATACATGTAAATTATTTCACTGAAGTATTATGTAGAAAATAGTTAAAATAAAATATATGTCATGCAAACAAAAATTGTTATACTTTGGTAGGAAACACAAAAAATTAAAGCGATGACTTTGATACTATTGTAAGAGCCGCCAGAGGGAGTGCATTTGTACTGAACTCTCAAGAGGAGAAAGGATAACGTAATAGGTCATTTCTGGCTTTCATTTCTGAAAGTATTTGAACTCATTAAATGCATTATTAAGCTCCCTAGAGATATATTTGCACAAGAATTAATTTGCCTAAAACCCCACTCCATTCCTTCACAGAAAAGCATAAAAGGTTTTTCATATTCTATATTTATTAGGGTCAGCAGCTTGGTTTCTAGGTAAAAGTTCCCAATACAACCAGGGAATCAGAGGAAATAGGCCAAAGAATGAAAGAAGTAGAAAGACGAAAATAGAGTATTTTGAAATATTGTTATCTTAATGTCTATATATACGCAGTCACTTGCTGAAGGGTACACTCCTCACCTAGCTGATCTAATTACTGCTAAGTACTAATAGATAAAATACAGCAAATGCTTCCCAGATGGCCCTTCCAAGCAGATAAGGTCATTTCCCAGAACATCTTTTGTGACCTAAAGCCCAGAAAGATCAGAACAGCAGTGGGCTTTGTTGGAAGGAATTCCCAAGATTTGAAAGAATTTAAATACAGTTGTGAAATTTTAACAGATAATTTTACATGTGAATATTAGCAGTATTAATTAATATTGAAAGGTCCTAATATAGTTTTAACAAATACTGATACCATGCAGGACTCTGTAGGCTTCCCCACCCAACCCCTGCCTCTTGTTTATAGAAAAGCTGAAGTCTCCCAGGCCTCCTGGAGTCACAGAAGAGCGGGGTCAAGCAGTGGATTAGGACAAGCCTGCAGGCACTGGGGGATGGCAGTGACTCTGACCATCTATCTCAACGGTTAACTGAGATTATTCCCCCATTTCCCTTTAAAACTTTCATGGCTGAACAGAATCTTTGGAGATTATTTGGGGGAGTGGCGGGGGTGGCAAAATGCTGGGTCCACCAGACTGCAGGCATTCAGATTAAAAGTCACTTTCCTTTTTGTTACCAAGGCTGTTGATGCCAGGATCATACCCCTGCCCCTCCCTCGGCTAGAAACCAAATACTCTTGTCTAAGTCTAGGAGGCAGCTGCAGAGAAGAAACAAGAACTGGTTAGAACCCACAGAGGTGCAGGATTTGACTTCCAGTGGACCCTGAGCTTCATTATACACTCATTCTAATGTATTAACATGCTAAATGACACACCCACCAGCGCCTTGACAGTTGATGGTTGCCATGACAACACTAGAAAAGCCCATACAAGGACTGAAAAGCTCAAACAAGGACTGACTGCCTCTATCACATCTCAAGGAAGGACATGACGGCAGAAGCCTCCCATAAAAGCCCCACCTGGGCTGGAGCTGTCTCTACCGGCCAGCTTGGCTGACAGCTCCCTAATCGAGTGCTTCCTTCTCCCTGCTCAAGCACTTTCCTTCCTTTCCCTCTTTTGAAAAATAAAAGCAGTTTTGCTCTATCCCTCAGCCTCAGCTGTGAATCCTTTCCAGCCAGCAGGCAAGGACCCACACTTTGGTGGGCCTCCTCATTTGGGGTCTCACTATCCACTAGCAATACCAAGATCCTGAAGCATTTATTCACAGGAAGTAAGACTAGAAGTAAGGAAAGAAAAAACAATCTTTCTTTTTATGAACAAGAGATACATGAGCAACGTTCTATTAGTGATTTGGTCTTTATAATAGCTCAAAGGTCTTTCTTCGAAACATTTACATACATGATATGCACATGGGGAATAGCACCATACTAAACTGATTAAGATGGGTAAGGTAAATAGATAAATAAATCTCTTATTTTAAACTTTTAATAAAAAATATTAACAGAGACAGAAGAACAAAAATATCAAACAACTTGCAGAAGAATGAGGAGTTACCTGGCATAAACATGTTAGCAATGACCTTATGCTTGAATTCTTAGCACTAAGGCCAGCGGTCCAAACACACATGGGAATGTGTACGTTAATATTTTGTTCTCTTTCACTTACCTTTTCTTTGACTTATTTAAGAGCTGCAGGTTTGTTCCCCCTTCACTCTCAGGTTTGTTTCTGCCTCAGAACATGGTTAGCTTCTGTAATTAGATAATAATAAATGAGGTTACAAAAATCCTTAAGTTATGATCAACACTGATTTAGTATGCAGTACAATGGTGGTACCCTTACTTAAAGTTTCCAGTCAATTTTAAGGTCTGGAAAACACAGGTCTAGTGGCCTTAGTTGAAAATCACTGAGTTTTGGCAGTCTATGTGAAAAAAAATCCTGCCTTTTTCTCTTCCTGGCCTCTATGCAAATATCTGGTATGTATCTGCTCACTATTTAAATATTATAATTGCTGAAGATCAATACTGGAAGACATCTGTAGTTCTTACTGGTATGAAAGAATTTGATTTTTTTCTTTTTCCAGTTACAAAGTACAATGTCACATTCCCAGGAAAGAACTACAGGAAATAGCATATTTTTAGTTTTCTATTGATTTTTTTCTAATATATTAATGAGATACATATAGAACATTATAATAAATGCTGTACATATTATTCACTCACAGGAGAAGTATGCATTAATTAATTCTTCTCTCCTTGTTCCTAAGGCAACAATTGTATCAAATAAACACATCTGAAATATTTTACATTTCAATTATACTATTTATAATTCAGTATATCATATTAAAGTGATTTCAGTTTTATTTATACAGTTTTGCACTGGTACAAACTGAAGTTGGCAAAATGAACAATTCAGCAAAAAAGTTATTGCTTCTAATTTAGTATGCTAATTTCTAAAGTTGCATTTCATTAAAAAAACGTAGTCAAGCTTTCTCAAATTTTCCAATCTTACATTTTTCTTTATTCTGTCCCCAAATACACCATTACATTTCCACCTACCATATATCTTTTGTACTTATTTCTTTTTCCTTCTTATTTATATATAGATATAGATCTATATAGATATATCTTTTTTAATTTGTCTTCATCAAAGCTACTTTTCACTGCTCCTGAAGATATCCAGTCTTATATTCCAAGATCAGGGAAATACTTTTTATGCAGTATTACTTGACACTGGATCAATATCATTACATAGGTTTATAGATAAATATTCTAGATAGATATTTTATATACAATATCTCCCATAAAATATGCAGAAGTATCATTCAGGTCACATAAATGACCATAAGTAATATTATTTTATATTCAGCCTTCTTTAGGAAAGAGGATTGAGTTTTGCAAATCTATAATTTTCCTTTCTCCTTCCCAGAGTTTACCTTAAATGTAGAGTAAACTAAATATAGTCCTATGACCATCTGAATAGATCATTTGAACACTCGTATTCTTCTTGTCATGAATGCAGCCTCTCATTCTTCAAACATAAGTATCTGAGATTTTTAATGAAATCAATGACCCACATAATTTGCACATGTAAAAAAATCTCTAATACATTTTCTGGAGTTTTATCCAATAAGGACTTCAGTACAATAACATGCAAAATATATGTCTGATTTGCTGGAAACAATATTGGATCAAAAAAAGTAATGGTAACTTGGCTACTAGTGAAAAAAGAGACACTGTCTTATGGATTTAATTTTAGTTAATTTATGAATTTAAAAACAACACAGACTTAAGTTTAAGGATTTGAATTCTACCCATAGCTCTCTGTGTGACCTTCTGGAACTTACTTAATAAATTTTGGACACATTTTCTTTATTCATAGTATTAGAAGTTTGGACCAGATGAGTCCTAGGATACTTCCCAGATTTAAAATCTTATGACTTTGTAAACATTCAGGAAAAATATGAATCCCACATTATTATTATTTATGTGTTATTGTATTTTTTATTTTATTTTTCTATTTATTAATCTAAGTGCTGTTATGAGGCAAATGTATCAACTTAAGTATGATTTTGAATATATTTTAGCTTCAAAAGCACTATTTGACTTAAACATTTACAGATTCAATTTTATAGTTTAAGTCCCCCAAGGGGCTTCTTCACTGTTTTTTTTTTGATGGGAGGAAGAATCATCAGGAGAGATTTTCTTGCACTCTACATACTTTGCCCTCTATTAATATATTTAAATGTAGGAATCATTATCCAAAGGGTGCTAGTTACATCATATAAATTTCCCATTTCACTCTATTTAGCCTACCATATTTGACCTTGATTTTAATACTTCTATTTTAACCAAAACTATTTTATTTAAATAAGTAAACATCAATGACCTCAACCAATAAAGCTAATAGTATTTTCATAGTTAAAAAAAATGCATAAAGATTGAAAGGAAGGAAAAAGGTATTTTATAAATTCTCCTAACTCTCTTCTTTCTATTTTCTGCATTCTTCATCTTCTGAAGGTTACGGCAAGCTGGAATTAATTGGTGGTAACTGTATTTATCTGGTGATAGCTTAGTGATTGTGGGATGAGATTACATGAGGAGGGAATAGTAGTAATTGCAATTTTCAGATTTGATTGTGTTAAAAAAAAAAAAGCCTAAGAACAAGTAAGGAATTTGCCAAGCAATCATTCCAAAGGGATACAAACTTTTATATCAATTTGTTTTCTTTATGAGAGGTAGTCTACATGCAAAGGCAAAGAAGGCAGGTTATTCTGAACAGTCAAGAAGCTATCTCAAAGTCTTGGAGTACGTTCATTCACACTTCAGCCTATCTGACTAGGTAGGCAGGTGGCAGACTGGAACATGAATAGTCAGAAATTAGTGGTAAGAACCTTTCTTCTGAGATAAACTTGAACCATTATAAGAAGCAATTTGATTGCCATTTTGGATCTATCAGCCATAAAATGTTTACTAAAATAGGTTTCTGAGACTCTGTTGGTTTATCATTAAACTTTTAGAAATCCCCGAAATATTCACTTTGCAGTATTTCTTTCTTGCAAATCATCAGAGAAGATGAAGAGTGCCTAAATATTAAAAAATAAAGATAAGTAATTAAGTAAATAAATAAGTAAATAAATAAATAAGAGAATCAATAAGACTTCACTTAACATGGAGTAATATAAAAGAAGGAAAAATCATGGAAGTATATAACAGGGTATGTCTTGGCCCATGGAAAAGCCATCAGGCCAAAAATAAGGCAATATAGAAACAACAGAGGTAAATTCTCCAAAAAGGAAGAAAAACGTCACACTTGGATGAAGAAGTTAAGACAGAAATGTGTCAAGCATAGGAAAAGGAAATTCAAAACTTCACTCCTCTAGGGAAAGGCAGGGGAGATTTAAGTGTTAGGAAAAAGCAGAAAATGGAAAATCTTTTAGTTTTGTATATTTAAGGAAAGATTCCAGTGGCTCTGAAGTATAATTGTTGTTAGACTCTTTGGTAATCCCCTTTGTATTATTTGTCAGAAGTGATCGTATGACTAAAAATATTAGAACAAAATTAAGTTGTAGAAAACTGAAGCCCAATACTAGAGAGAAAAATTTAATAAAAGAATCTATCCATCTTAGTCAAGAAAAATAATTTGCCCAGGGTCTAAAAATAACCTAAAATTCAATAACTATGGCATGTTACTACTCTCTGATAAATCGTGAAGGAGGCACAAAGACAGGATACAGGAAAATGACCATCATCTTTTTGAAATAAGGACAGTACATTCCACAGTTTTTCAGGCCGGTGATGGCAATAAATTAGCATTGAAAAAACAAAACCAAAAACTTCTCTAGTGAGTGCCTACAGTAGGAAAAAGTAAAAAATAGGCCTTGCTGTCTCCCTAAAATTAGTTATATAAAGGATATTATTATTTGATTATTTCATACTTTTTTATTGTTTATAAAATTGAAGCTCTAAGATTAGACATGTAACAAATTCTAAACAGCCAGTAAGTGGCAGTTCCTGATCTAGAATCTAGTTCTCCTGACTCCATATCCCATGTTCTTTTTTCTCCCGACCTTGAGTTAAGTCTGTAACATCAGAGCTGCAAGGAACTTATAATGTTTTATTTTCTTTAAATATATTGTAGACTATGAATCAGGTGCATATGGCTACATAACAACCCAGCACAATAATTAGTGTTTTAGAAAAATGACCAGTTATTATTTAGTGATTCTTTGGATCTACAATTCAAGTTGGGCTTGACTGTTCAATTGTTTTGGTCTCAGCTGGGGCTCCCTCTTAAATCTGTAAATCACATCAGGAGGGAGCTCTGCTTCTTGGTGTTTGCAGGTTCACGACTGGGAAGCCAGTGGTGGACTGGGCAACCAGCCATGTATTTATTTCTTGTTATCCAGCTGGCTAGACTGGGCTTGTTCACATCTCTGCTCCGAGGGGTTTCAAGAGAGAAAAGGAATCATCAATGATCTCTTTAGGCTAGGCTCCGAACTGTACGGTGCAACTTCCTTGGAATTCTTTTGGCCAAAACAAGTCTCAAGTTTAGTTTTTTGGTTTACTGCCTATTCACCTTGTCCGTGAGGGAGAGATTCTTGTCCAACAGTATTGCCAAACACACAACACCTGAGACTGGACAGATGAGTTTGAGGCAGCTTACTAGTCACATATCCTCCCATCCCAGGGGAAAAGACCACAGCACACAGGGCCACGCAGTGGCTGCACTCAGGAACGGAGGGAGCAAGCAGGGGCTGTGGGGAAGAGCTTCATAGTATTAAGAGAGAAAATGTCCCCTGACTTTCACTGGAGGATGTGATTGGCTTGTTTGAATAATTTTTCATGTGAGAAGTGACATGGAACCCATTAGACTGAATACTGGGTGGACTGAAGCTGAGCTGGCTGACAGGGGAACTACCTGGGTGGAGAGCCTTTTCTCATCTGGTAGGAGGCACATCTGGGGAGGG